AATTTAAAAATCGGACTCTGTCAACTCCTAGCTATAGATGTTTTCTACAAATCACAAAGAAAATTTTCGTTTTCCGTTGTATCGTTACCGAGAATTCTTGTGTGTGGCGAAAGCCCTGAAGCTAAAACAGTCTTAAGAAAAACGCAAAATAAGTTTTGATTCTGTTAAATGCGTTTTACTTAAAAACTGTTTGAACGTTAAATAACTTGTCTATATTTTGCTATAGGTTATCAGTCATGGCGGATCTAATGAACATTAATCAATAATTTTCATATACTAAATGAACTTTGTCCTTGTGCTAAAACACATTTTCTGAAACACCCTTCAATTCTCTACAAACTCACATTAGTTTTAATTTTTACTAACATATCTTGAGCTCTGCATAACAAATTTTTTCAATGTAGTGCCTTTCTTATGAAAAGTCGAATTTTCTACCAAAACTAAGCTTTATAATAAGTATTTTATCTCAATGGTATCATCTAATTCGACTAGATATACAAAATTCTAGTCAAGACGAGATTGTTAGTTTTTTAAAAGGTGAAAATAGTTCACTTATTTTCCAAAAGACGACAGTATATCCGATTTTAAGTAAATTAGCTCGAAAACTATTATTACCACATGAGCGTCAGTCGAGAGAGTGTTCTCACAGAGTAGTTTTCTTTTCTGATCTCATCGATGTAGAATGACTCAAAATTAACATTGTTAAAATGCAATTTTGAATTGTTAAAGTGACTTTTTTTGTGCATACTCTTGTAAACAAAAACGGAATAAACAACTGCTAATAAAGTAAAGAAGAAAACGAATAAAGATAAAATAAGCTCTTATCGGAGTTGAAACAGAGTTGGAGTTGTCCATGGCTGTTGTGGTGCACTTCCAGGATTTCGTATGAACAATTTAATTGTCTTTTATTCAAAATAAACACTATGACAAGAACTGTTACGTCTGCTAGAATAAAAACCCTTTAGACGAATAAAGATATTTTCCTTTGAGCCTAGATTTTTAGCAATAGGCCACTATCTAGAGATACTGTATTAAAGAAGTGCCAACTGCTCATATCGATCCCACTGCAAAGTAGGGTTTAATAGGATCACAAAACTAAGACAAATATTTCAAGGTTTGTTTTGATAGCGAGGATTAAAGGAATTTCAGTTATATGCCAAACTTTGGATCTTAATTTGAAATTTTTTTTATCTAATGAGTCGAAATTTGAGAGTTTGAAGTCTTTGTTACCTTATCCTATAACCATACACCATAGTGCTCATAAAGACATTGTACTAGAATGGACAATTTGGTATCAGCATTAGTCTGTTCTTTTATTTTCAACAGCTTGTCTTTTATCCGTTTAAAATTCGTAATATACGAACTAATTGGCGAAATTTTAAATAAAAACAAAATAACATTTACGAACACAATCTAGCGACGCGTATATATACAAAGATATAAAAATAACAATAGAAAGAAGGAACAACAAAAATAAAGAAAATTGTCTTTTTTTTCAAAATCCACTACGAAATGGTGTGTGTTTGGGTGTCGATAAAACCGATGCTCCAGGCATAACTATAGCTGACCTAAGAAAAAGATTAAGTAAAAGTTTATATTCAAATCAAAATTAGTTTTTTTTCGTGTTTTTACCTAACTGATGGTGTTGGTATCGCTGTATTTGCTTCTTCTTTTATTCGTTTAAATTTTTCCTCAGCAATACGCATTTCTTCTTCCATTGTTAATTTTTCATTGTCTTCTTTACGTCGTCGTTCACCACGTGATTTAATTGAATCTTTGATACTGAAAAACATTGGACCCAGTTCAGCTAACCATTGACCATCTACACATGTAACACATTGCATGTATTCCTAGAAATAAAATATGTACTCATTAGTAGGGATTGTTGGGTTCTCGGTTCTGGAACCAAAGCCGAGGTTCCGGTTCTCGAGTTAGAACAGAAACGAAGAAACCGTGACTCTTTGTTTCCAGCTTAGAACCGGAAAATAATTTTTCACGCAGTAAGAGTTCAACGAAATAGAATTCATTTTATAGTAAACGAACGGATTCTCTTAAATGATGAAAAGCAAGTATATCTTCTTGTAGCTTAGCCAATAGTATGTTTTCATTTCGTTAAAAGAAAGCCAAGTCAGAAAGTCTCGGTTCCGAAAAAAAGAAACCGTCTAAGAAACTGCGGTTCCGATTCCCGATGAAGAACCGAAAACAAGAGAACCGCGATTCCGGTTCTTCACAACAATTGAACATACCTACTTATTAGACTAAAGTGTGAGAACTACAACAATTTTAAGAACGTCTATTCATCCACTTTCACTATTTATACGGTTGAAAATATTCACCGAGTTATCTCTATGACCCGTTGGTTTTAAAATATTCGATGCCTCATAAGATCAAAAATGATTCCGTTATGTTAAGCATATGGATACTATGGTAAACATTATGTAGCAACCGACTTACTTTTGTTGTCATAACTAATTCATGATAAACAATATAATCAGGTGTGAATCCGCAACCGAATAATGCACTCGTTGGATGTAAATGACATGGCATACCCGTACGTAAATTAACATATTCTCCGATACCCTAGTAAAGAAAAAATCCACATATTCATTAAATCTATCAGTATTACTAAAAGATCTGACTTTATTACCTTTAATCTTGCTGCTTGATGAAAATATGCGGCACATACACATTTTCTCACTGTATCCCAATTTGTTCCACATGAACGTACATCTAATTTTTGTGTATCCATAATATCTTTTAATTGTTGTCTGACTTCACGTACTTTACGCATTGCTTTCCCATGTACATAATGATCATTACACCAATTTGTTGAATAACTACAGTACAAGAAATACATTAGCTTATAAACATTGATCGTAAGCTCAAAAACTAACCCATTCTTTTTCCACTGTATATAAACGTTCAAAAATGTTAAATGATCACTTTCTGGTACTTGAAATTTTTCTCGTTTTGCGTCTGATTCTTCTTCTTTACCTTTCGGACGAAAAAATATCGATGGAACAGATAACATAGAAACAATAATCTAGAAGAGCTAAAATAAGAGTTAAAAAGCACTCAATTTGATTATTAACAATAAACACATACGAGAATTTCTGTACTACAACCCATTTCAACAGATGAGATTAACATTTTTGATAAGGCAGGATCTAATGGAAATTCAACCATTTGTCGTCCTAATGTAGTTAATACACCAGTATTATCCAGCGCACCCAATATCCATAATTGATACATAGAATTCATCAAATTATCCTAAATAGAAATACAATAAATTAATACAATTCGTTTTTTTACTAATCAAATGTTTCATCTCCACACCTGAGGAGGAGGATCCATGAAATGAAACTGTAATAAATCTTGTACACCGAGAGATTTTAATAATAAAACAACATTGGCTAAGTTTGTTCGTTGTATTTCTGGTACATTGGTTTTCAATAATTCTTCACGATAATTTCTTTCCGTATACAAACGAAAACATTGACTAAAATCAAAAACAATATATAACATAATCAATCAAGAAAAATCCTATACTGTTTTTATACACCTACCCCGGTCCCGTACGACCAGCACGACCCATTCTCTGATTAGCATTCGCCTAAAAAGTAGAAATAGAACACATAAATCGATAATCAGATAAATACGGTTGAAAAGACGTTTCATTAACTAAGCTTTTGAAAGCTATGTCTTCACTTTCTATTCACTCGATTTAGCAATGAATATTGACTCACTTGACTAACTGGATAAACTTGTAATGCATCCATACCAATACGTGGATTAAATACTTTTAATTTACAATAACCGGAATCAACAACATAAATTATACCATCAACTTAAAAAGGTATAATCGTTAGTATAGACATCAATCATCAAAACAAACAGAATTACATACCTGTTAAAGATGTTTCAGCAATATTTGTGGCTACAATACATTTTCTAATACCATCTGGTGCTTTCTGAAATATTTTTGCTTGTAAATCACTTGGTAATTGAGAATAGATGGGTAAAACGGATAACGGTTTAGCACCGTCTAAATCAGCCAAACGTTCTTTAAAATAAAAAATAAAATAATAGGTGTATACAACAAAATTAATAGTATACCTTTTATTAATTCACAAGTAACTTCAATGTCCTCTTGACCAGGCATAAAACAAAGAATATCTCCTGCAAACAAAAATCACAACTGGTATAATTTCATTAGAAATATATTCTCCAGAACGGCTAACGAAAAATACTTTTAATATTTTATCTTACTCACCGTCTCCTCCTCCCAAATGTATTTGCATAGTCTGTTTAACAGCTGCATCAACATAATCTTCAACAACATTTTTACTAAAAAGTGTATCAACTGGAAACGTCCGTCCTGGTATGATAAATATTGGTACATTACCAAAGAAGTCACTAAATTTTTCAGCATCCATTGTTGCAGAAGTAACAATTAATTTTAAATCTTGTCTACGTGCGACAACTTCACGTAGCAGACTAAACAAAAATATTATTAAATTAGTCTTCATCGTTCAAAACGGATTAAATTAGTTTTACATACCCGAACAAAACATCGGTATTCAATGATCGTTCATGTGCTTCATCCATGATGACAGCACTGTAATGATCTAGATCGGGTTCCGTTAAACTTTCACGTAATAGAATACCATCAGTCATATATTTAATTATCGTTTTCTTAAATAGAGAAAAAAATGTCGTTAATCAATGATCAAGAATAATAAACTAGAAGTTTAAATACCTCTGATGTGCAATCCTCAAATCGAATTGCATAGCCAACTTCTTCGCCCAATTTACAATTCATTTCTTCTGATACACGTTTTGCAACGGACATTGCAGCAACTCTTCTTGGCTGAGTACAACCAATCATTCCACGTTCAGTATAGCCTGATTCATGTAAATACTATAAACACAAAAAAATGAAGAATTAATATTTATAATTGATATTAGGCGAACTGATGAACAAACTTTTCAAACAAATTTTGAGAATTATAGCAGCCGACACGCTCAATATCAAAAAGACCTACGTCAATTAGTATTATTGATCCAGATTCACTAATAGACATCTGCTCAACGTTATGCTACTCAACATTTGCCCTGGAGTCAGCAGTCAGTCGGTCGACATTTCGCGAAAAAAGGACATGAAATTAGTAGAGATAATTTTAAAATTTTATTAAAAGAAAAACACAAATATAAACTCTTAATTAAAGAATCGATAGTAATTAGAGCTACAAAACCGATTCTAAATGGTATTGATCGTTCTATCCCACTATATGTATATCCGGATGGTGTAAAGAAATCAACTTTACCCTTAAGTATCACGGGGCTGCCACGTTATGGATAAAAGGAAAGAAAAATGAAGACAGTCGGAAAAAAAATATATAAATATTTTTGTATTCGTTCATGTATCCTCCATTCTCCAATGTACAACTTTCTATCCTGTATTTACTAAATTCAACCGATGACTTATCGAATGGAAATAACATTAAAAAGCATGAACAGTGATAATTCAGCTTTTCTTACGTCTTTTAGATAAAAAATGTTTACATCTTTCAGTTTATTTTTTACTTGATAATGACCGGTTAAGGTCGAAATATCGTGAATAAAATAAGAAATGAACTTCATTTTACTCGGCTTCTATAATTCTTAAAATTTAATATTAATAATGCTTGTTAGCCTGTAACAAATATACCTGAGTCATCTGAGTCGTTTTTCCACTACCCGTTTCTCCAACACAAACAATAATATTATTTTCGCGAATTATATTCAATAACTAAAAGACAAAGAAAAGAAAAATTCAACAAATTGGATGATTAGACAATCGTATATTACCACTTACATCTTGCCTAATAGCGAATATAGGTAAAAATTGTCGTTGTTGTTGCACGGTACGTTTTAGAGCAAAATCCGATACTGCATCTGTTTTAGCCTGCATATGATCAGCAAATTTTTGAGATTTTTTATAATCAATATCTTCAACTTGTTCTTCTTTGACATCTTTACGTTTAATCCCCAGAATGTTACCAAGTTTCGTGCCACCTAATTCCCAATGTTTATCTTGTGCCAATCGACGTTCTTTTTGTTCACGATATTTTTTTACTGACTGACAACCACGACGGCAAATCACAGCCATATCACTGGTTGGATCTTTGACAGGAATAACAGGTTCAACTAAAACAGAGAAAAAACTATCGTAGTACTTTGTAAAAGAATCGCTTTTTTTCATTAATTGTTAATGCTAAAACATTAACCGGTAGAAAATGACTTACACTGTTTCGTAAAACGTATTCGTCCGTCGAGAAACGGTGGTACAAGGTTATTGACTAATAAATGCACACGAGATTCATTCTCATCGTCAAATTCTTGCTCATAATTAATTTTCGTTACAACACCACTTGTTATCATTCGATTTGTTTCCCATTTTTCAATATCCTAAAAATAAGCGTGCAATATCAACGCACTATGCAATCTGAAGTAAATAATACTTGATTTATCTGTCGTTGTTGTGCTGACATCCTTTTATTTCGTCTTTGTTCAAATGCTTGTTCTTTCTTTTTCGTATATTCTTCACTAACAGTTGAGAATGGATTATTTCCATCATCATAGCCATCTTCGTTATTATACCATTCACGATCTACACGCTAAAAGGAAGTCATTTAACTTACTACATCTTCAGATTTTGAAAGTGAATGTACTAACCTTTTGTTCTTCATCCCAAGCACGTCGTTCATCATCCTCATCCATTTCGCTATGTTTATGTCGGCGAAAACTAGGAGTTGGCAAAGGGGTGTCATTTCGCTTTCTAAACACAAAACGAATAGAAGTTGCACAAGATTTGGATTTAAAACTTTTTAACCTTTCATAATAATCAGTGTCTCGTTTTCGTCTATAATGCTGATGCCTTGATTGATCAGACGGTGTAGGTAATTCCCATTGGGATGAACGATTCTGGTTTGGATCGTCTTCATCCCATACAGTTCGTGAAGGAGATTCTAAAAGAGATAAGTAGTTTAAATTTATAAATGAATGAAAAGTTATTTGTTACCTCTAATGCCACGAATATTTGGTGTATCATACGTATCTCTCTCTTCATCTACTTGTTCTAAAAAGAAAAAAGTATTCAACCATGTAATAACGTTTGTTTATGTACTAAACATACTTCTGCGCGGTTCGAATCGATCTTTTATACCAGATGCATAAGCTAATCCACGTTCACGCGGTTTTGGCCGATCTTGCGAATATACATCACCAGATCTCGTCGATGAAGGCGTTTCAATTCGTTGTTCACGTAAATGCCTTAAAAAAGAAAAACATTTTCAACTTTTCTAACCAAGTCAATAGGATGTATCGACTTCGACAAACATAAAGAAACATTAATTGTTTACAAGACAGACTAATCGCATTGACCTTGCTCAAATTAGAGCAGCAATATTGTTTGGTCTCACAGCTGATGTTTCTGTTCTGTAATATGTCACAAATTAATCACCTCTCCGTCTTTCTTGATGTATCATTTTCATTTTGTTTATCACTGGTATTTGACTTATTATTGTTTGGATAGTCTACAATCATTTCATCATCATCTCTATACGATGTTGTTTTAGATCGTTTTGTTGATGATGGTGTATTCCCTCTTGAATTTTCATTTGCCACATTACGTCGTTTTTCTGCAGCTAATTTATCTAATCCGAATAATGAGACAGGTTGGGGAACTTTAAATATATGTTGTTTTTCTTGATCATCTGATGCGTTTGACGAAGTTAATTTCTTTTTTAGAATTAAACCACCTTGTCCTTCATTGATACCTTCTAAACGGTGGGTCACTAAACTGGTATCGTCATATCGATTACTCATCTAAAGTGAGGAATAAACACAAGACATATAGAGCTAAAAAAGAATAGATCAGAAATAACCGACAGGGTAAGAGATATTTCTGTTCAAGCGAGAAAGCCTATAATTGTACAAGTCATTTTTCAAAATCTGTTATTTCCAGTTATTTCTAGTATTACACACCATATAATATTACACCATAAATGTAGTAGAACCATTCATTTAAGTAAACTTAATGCCTCAATACTTTTTCTGACTTACAATAGATGTCGCTATTAAAGGATAATTCGAAAAAAAACATATACAAAATAAAACATTTTGTATGTTGGTCAAGCAAACGAAATATTTGCTAGGGATTAGATCGGGTATGGACCAGGGGATTGTATTACAACAAACCTTAAGTAATCGGCTTGGGCCATGATTTAAGACCGACTTAGCTTCGAGGAATAATATGATGAAAAGACTTACCCATTGCCAAATTTCTACGTGACTTGTCTCACCAAAACGAGAAAATAAAAAAACCCGTTCTAATCCGGTTGTCTTCTGATCATCGTGGATCATCGACCAGGCAAATCACAAGACAATGAAGAAAGAAACGGCACAATGACGTGCTGCGTCGTATGTTTACTGAAGAGATGGTAACTCTCCTCCTCTAGCAATTTGATGATTTGCCTTTGGTGGTGGCAACCAAGAGGCTTCAAATGAATGACTTTGCCTCGACCAACTACACCGTCGACATTTAGGCAAGTCAAAGCAACTTCGAGGGTGGCAACTCGAAGGCCAAACGAGCACTTGGCCTCGACGATCAAGCAGATTCGGCGATAAGGCCAAGTCCTGCGTTCGGTGGCAAGTAGGGCTGTGTTGACATTCGCACAAGCCCAACGGAACGGTGGTGCGACCTCGAGTAGTGGCAGCTTGAGGCTCGAAATGGGAACTTCGCCTCGACGAGA